ATGTTTGATTAATCACTAGTTTTCTGAACAACTTTAAAACCGCAGTTATTTCTTCCCCTCTATTTGGTTTTAAATTTATGTAGCCGTCCTTCTACCCAAAATCCCTAAGTTTTCATGGAATTCTTTAGTCTTTAAAGACTGATAGCGCGATTGGCTACTTTAAATGCAAACCGACGGCCTGTCCCTCCCAAATAAATTTTTACCCGACCTTACATTTCCAGTACTTTCCGAAAAAGCATTGACTGGGTAGGAATGAAGCGCATGAACAGGCTCATATAATTGTTGCTTACGTTGTTTTTACTTATTTCTACTGGGTAGTTTGAAATGCTGCATTAGAACTTTTGTACGGTTGCAATCGGTATGAGTCGCATTTTAGATAGGAACAAAATTATCCTCTTTTTACACTTTTTATTGAAGTACCGCTGACAAATTTGGAAAACTACACCTTTTCTTCGCCGCAAATTTGCCTGTCCTCTCGCTTTTTCGATGTTGGAATTTCAGCAGACAAGCCTATATGTATTACTAGAGCTTTTAATGTCGAACGTAAGGAAAGTGTACACAGTGGGTTAGATAACGCATAAAAGATTTCAAAGTTTAAGAAACATTGCCAATCACCCGCATAACGACACCAATGCCTGTACTCAATATCTATATTATTAACAAATATTTTTAAGGGAATTAAAAACACGGAATAAATAGTAAAGCTAATGTTATATCCGGGCATCGTGTGGATCCCAACGAAGCCTTCCGTGCGATTTACAGGGTCCCACCTAACTATCCTAAGCGATTGGATCAGCGCTTACTAACAATGGTGGAAGCGGCTGCCAACGGACAACAGAGGCCGGTCGTACACGCGCAGGAGAACCTCTTGCATGCTCTGTGTCTGCCGTGAGCAAGGACCAATTAACTGTATGCATGTATCCGCGTCCCCGTCCCCTCCTCTCCCCCCCCCCTCATGACACGTCTCACCTTAAGCTTCACTGTCGCCTACTGCTTCATCTCCCCCTTCTCCCCCCTCCCTACTCACACACCCCGCTTCTATGCGAACACGAACCCTAATCGATTTCCCTTATCACTCATACGTTCAGTTTGCCCCTCGTCCCCACACAAAATGTGCACGCCAGATGAGGATTTATCGAAAGCCCACGTACGCGCACCAAATGCTCTTCTACTTTTATATCACTTAGAAATACCGATTTCTAGAAAAGCGGAAAATTTCAAAAAGCTCAAAAAAGGCTGAAATTTAGTACACTTTAGTTTTTATGCTCAGAGAGCCTCTCCATGCAAAACACCGAGCAAATATGATATCAGAAATAGATTAAGGCCTGCAAATAGTCCTGTACTGAAGTTCGTGCTTAAATATCTACTAAGAATTGGCGTAATTTCAGGCATGGCGGTTTGCCAACAGCCTATGCACTAAGTATGGATTCCAAAATGGTTTCCCGAGAATCCGTTGTAAGCTCTACGTTTTGGGGGTGCGGTCCAATAGGGCAAATAGGATTTTGCTTGATTTCGTAGGTAGGAACGTCATAGGAACAAAAGTTCCCATGAGGTCACATGTTTCCTGGCGAGTCAGTGACTAATAAACATAAGTTTAATTGAACGGTGCAGTTGTAAAAATACGATTTTGTGTATATAACGATGACTTTCTCTACGTAAAATTAGTTCGCAGTCTTCGATTTGTTTGGATTACGTTGACTTTCAGATCGCCCTAGAAATATCGCTGAATACTTCGGAATTTTCAGTGTTTTCGGTCGATTGCCCACAGCTGTAGATCATGCATTGCGTGTTTGCTAAAATCTTTGAAATGAGATACCTTTTGAAAGCATTTGCTGACGTAGTGAGTGTTTGGACGTTTCTTTTCATGTTGATTCTTGTTTGGGTCGCATGTGAAGGCTCACCCAAACATGAAACCTCATCACCGGAAAAGATAAACGTTCATCACAAAATGCAACGACGAATATGCTCTCCATCAATTAGAAAACCTCCTCTTAGTCAAATTTTTAAGGAGTACTTTAATACTGCATTCCAATGACGGGCGTCTGTTTACTTTTTTTTACCCGTAGAAGTCAAGAAAAATTTGACACTTTTGACAACTACTTCTCAAGTTGCTAAGTAATGCTGATATTTTCCTATCGCAAACAAAAACATGCTTCCTTCCTTATGTTGCGTCCATTTTCCCTATCTTTGTTCACTTTGGGCTCCGCTCTATGATTCCAGATGCACGGAGGAATGACCGTATAAATGCGGACATTGTGTTTAAATTGTTACTGCTTTCCTAGTCCCATTTCTAAATTGCGTATGTGCGGAAGTAACACTGCACGATAAGTAAGGTCTTACATTTTCAAAGCTGAAAATGGCCAAAACATAGAATTTTTCAGAAGAAAAATCAATTTAGACCCCTTAAAATGGAAGATTGTGCGCATTGGAACTGCACTTTAGGACACGAAATCGTACAGATGTGCTAAGCTGACTTTCAAAAATTGATAAAACGTCTGGTTCATTTAAAATAACCTCCGTGCTAGTAAGCTTAGTCCTACGGTTAATGTCGCACAAAACCAATTTCCAGGTTCATTTAGCATTGGTTTTTAAAACTCTTGAGAGTAATTTATTATCCCGGCAAAGAAAAACACGCTCAGATAGGCCACCAAATTCAAATATGGGAAGTAGTATTAGAAATTGCCTGAATATATCACAACGTCCATTTTCGTTCAACTCTGTAGACGTTTTGCTTAATAAAATTGCATAGACATATTTTCTGTCCAAAAAGGCATTTTCTTGAGGAGACTGAGCCAGCAAGCGAAATGCGTAACGTTCCAGGAGTCTACGAATTTTCATATGAGTTGTTATCATCATGCTACATGTGATAGGTCACGTGCTGTGTGCTCCTGGTAAAAAATACATCCCCCTTCATGTTCGATTTATTCTGTCTGATTTATTGCGTCTGGTCAAAATGAGAAAACTTTCATTTCTGTTAGCTCGCTGTGCCGGTTTTTTTCTTTTTTTCTGTACTTATTGGCTGTGTACTCCGCTTTGGCGTTGTCAAAAGTCAACAACATCTTTCGAATTGAGACTTTTCCGCATTATTTTTATCCCATCATTGAGACATAAATTTTTCTGTATTATTTGTTTTCATATGATTTAAAGCTGGAAATCTAATAAGCAAAATACAGGTTTTTAAGCGCGCTTTCGGAAAATTTTTGGATTCTTGGTGTGGATTATATTTTGCTCCTGTATCAAATTCACCTACCTGTTTTTCCGGGATTTGTATATATGCGAACTTACCAGTGCTAAATATGCGGACGGATATCTTATTGTAATAAATCGGCTTGGTCGCATATATGATTTATCCACTGCTATTCTTGCTATCAAATCTTTCTTTTAAATCCATATTTTCGTATTCATTATAAAGAGTGTGTTTATAGATGTCCTTGAAGAGGGTAGAGGACAAGGTCTATGGGGTATATTGGTGCGGAACTGTTTTGAGCTTGTTTGTCTTCACTCAGCCAACCATAATCTTGACCATCAGCCGGGACCGCAAACAAAAACACAAATCTGACGCAGTTGGTCCACCATTTGGATATATCAGATGGGTCAGACGCACTTCATCGAACCGAAGGTCATCAGTGCATCGCCACCTGTCATTCTCTGTCGCTGCAGATCAGGTATTTATTCAATCGGGGATGGGTGCACACCGATCTATTGGCTTCACGAAGCAAACAAGCTCCGTATGGATGGCAAAGGTCACGAACAGGCAACCAATTACCCGGCCGAATTCGGCCAAGTCATAATAGAAGCAAGGAGGGACGACAGAGAATGCGGGTAGACTGATACAGCACTGTTTCGGGCTTTTTTGCCTTCATTCAGCCAATCATAACCCTGACCACCAACAGCTGGGAGCAGAAACACAAACATGCGCACAGATGCACCTGGCGCAGTTGATCCACCACTGGGGTCTACCAGATGGGTCATAGGCACTTCCTCGAACCGAAGTTCATCAGTGCCTCGCCACCTGCCATTCTACGTCGCTGCAGATCAGGTTTTTATTCACCCAGAAACGGACGTACACTACTCCACTGGCTTCTCGAAGCAAACAAGCTTCGTATGGATGTCAGCAACCAGAGAATGGCAGGTGGCGGGGCAATTATGAGCTTCGGTTCGATGAACTGCTTATGATCTCTCTGGTAGGCCCCAGTAGTAGACCAGCTGCGCCAGGTGTGTGAGCGCATGTTTGTGTTTCTGGACCCAACTGCTGGTGGTCAGGATTATGATTGGCTGAATGAAGGCAAACAAGCCCGAAACAGTGCTGCATCAATCTACCCCCCAGACTCTGTCGTATCCGCTCTGCTATCATAGCTTGGTCGACTTATGTCCGGGGGGGTTGCCTTCTCGTGGCCTCCATCACCCATAAGAAGCTCATTTTCTCTGCGAAGCTAATGGATTGCTGAGCGTCCATTCCTGACTGAAAAAATATCCTTAGATCGTCCATTTGTCAGCAATTTTGTTGTGTTACTGGATTCTTGTTGGTACACTGCATGCCTTTTGGAAACTGATGGACTTTAATTTGTGCGTTCTTCGTATTGTGAATTTTCTTATTAAAGCTAGATCCCGGCAGCAATTTAAAGAAAATATTCCAAGAAATTCTCTCCGCCCGACCCAACAAAATCTCCATTCCCAACTCCCCCATGATTCATGGAGGGATGCTTATACCTCTTGTACTACTTCACTTTATCCCTCCACACTTTCGAGTCTTTTCTCTTTGGAAGAGTCTTCTCACAATAGAGTTGTAGCATGCATAATCGTCCGTAAGGACTACACTTTTTATCGACTAACATAAGAAACCGTCTATTTTGGTGCAATAAGGGTGAACTAAAGAACAAAAGATGTGCAGACGCAGTGTCGATATGAGGGAAAGCAAGAAAACGCATGGTGCCAGTCCGCTCGAAATGCTGGATGAAAAGGTGCTGGCTCATGCGAGAGGGCAAACGGCATCCGGAGCCCTAGTCGACTATCTCCTCGTCGTCATCGAAATCGCCTTCATCGTCAGCAGTCGCGTCCTGATACTGCTGATACTCACTGACGAGGTCATTCATGTTTGACTCGGCCTCTGTGAACTCCATCTCGTCCATGCCCTCTCCGGTGTACCAGTGCAGAAATGCCTTTCGACGGAACATGGCGGTAAACTGCTCGCTCACGCGCTTAAACAACTCCTGAATGGCAGTGCTGTTGCCGATGAAGGTCACGGACATCTTAAGGCCACGCGGCGGGATGTCGCAGACAGCTGTCTTCACATTATTTGGTATCCACTCCACAAAGTAGGAGGAATTCTTGTTCTGCACATTCAGCATCTGCTCATCCACCTCCTTCATGGACATGCGACCGCGAAAGATGGCAGCCACGGTGAGGTAGCGCCCATGGCGCGGATCACAGGCGGCCATCATGTTCTTCGCGTCGAACATCTGTTGCGTCAGCTCGGGCACAGTGAGAGCTCGGTACTGTTGGCTGCCACGACTCGTCAGGGGGGCAAAGCCGGGCATGAAGAAGTGCAGTCTGGGAAAAGGTACCATGTTGACGGAGAGCTTGCGCAGATCGGCGTTCAGTTGACCTGGAAAGCGGAGGCACGTGGTCACACCGGACATTGTGGCACTGACAAGATGATTCAGATCGCCGTAGGTGGGATTGGTGAGCTTCAGGGTACGGAAACAGATGTCGTACAGGGCTTCGTTGTCGATGCAAAAGGTTTGATCCGTGTTCTCCACCAGCTGGTGAACCGATAGTGTGGCGTTATAGGGCTCCACGACGGTATCAGACACCTAGTTTGAATTGGCGAACCATTTGAGTAAGCAGCATATTTTGAATAAGAGGAATGAATGTGATGCATAATTTCTTTCCCATACAGGTTCCTCAACCACAAATTATGACTAATTTCACGCCATCCGAAGGTAACAGAACCGCCTTGACCTCAACCACTGAACTGGATGGTAAGTATCTACAGTAGGTAGGCTAACTCATGAAATGTCAACCGAAATTCCGAAATGCGTCTTCGTTTCGAAAAGATTAAGTAAGTAGGGTTGTAAAACTAGTCAGCCTGCAACATACTTCTATAATATTTCAGTTACCACAGGATACCGGCTCTCGAATGAACTCCCTTCTGGCTGCATTCAAAAACTGCACTCTGTAAAAATGACTACATATTTAGCATGAATTTTTCTCATTGATTTTCGATGCCACTAAAAGTCCAATTATATTTCATGGAAAACGTGCGTAAAAATATTCATTCTTTTGCTCATTTGGTAGTTAATTACGCCTTCTTTTAACTTTTTTGCTTGAGAGAAGGGTATAATTAGGTTTTCAAAAACTTTTTCAATTCCCCAATAATTTTGAATCCGCTCTACCGTTTTACTTGGATTCAGGGTTTCCAAACTACGAGCCGTATATTTTCCGCGTACGGATAGCCACACATTCCTCTACGGTAATAAGGGGAACCATATAGGCTTCATAAAATTTAGCAGTGGATTTGATCCATATTGTTAACTTTATAAGCCACATTGGCAAATGCAGGAACATGACGATTTATGAAGGGCCATTTCACGGTATTACAAAATCTCACAATTAGAAACTTTTTTAAAACCGAATCATACTCTTCCTTGGAGTGTAAAATTGAAAAAAGACGTAATTTTCTGTCGAATGAGCAAAGGAATGAATATTTTAATGCATGTTTTCCATGAAATGTAATCGAATTTTTAAGGGCACATAAAATCAATGAAAAAATTGCATGCTCCTTAAGTAGTCATGTCTTGCATATTACAGTTTTTGCATGCAGTTAGACAGAAGTTCATTCGAAAGCCTACACGCTGAGGTAACCAGATTATTATAGAATTATGATGCATGATGATTAGTTTTACAACCCTACTTAATTAATCTTTTCAAAGCGGGAACGCATTTCGAAATTTCGGCTGACATTTCCTGAGTTAGCCTACCTACTGTATGTGTGATGTGAGGCGTGGCCCGTGCACCCAGAAGATATCCCTCGATTAGATGTGCTCTCGAATGTGTCTGTTTTGCCGCGTTTTCAGCGAACCACTTTGCAGTTGCTCGAGAACTATCTAGGCCAACTGTGTCCCTTATTCGCTAGCAGGGATGGCTCGGTCATATGGCGCGCCGACTCTACAGGGAAATGGTCTGAAATGTTATTTTGCTCGAAATCGAACCTAGATGTCGACGCCGTTGGTCCGGTCGGCTGAGGACTGGATGAGCTTCATATGCATAGCCCGAGTTCAAATTCGCCTTATCGTCAAATCGCAACTAAAAACGTGACTTCGAAGTTTGGTTCCTAGTGAGCTGGATAATGTCTCTCCCAAATGAGTTGGCTCGATGCAAGAAGTCTGACCTTCTCAGTCAGGTATAAAGTAGACAATAGAGTCAGAGGCTAATGAACTGCAGACGGGAACCCTAGTCTTCTCAGTCCCTGGATATGTTTTACTAGATTAGCAGCATGGTTGCTTGGGAGTTGTTCATAAGCTCGTTTAAATGATATCCGTGACACACATCTTAAGTAAAAAAAATCCAGATCGGGTAAAGTGGATGCGATTGGTCGAACAAGAGCTTTATTCGCCTAACGTGCACGATTCATGCTCAAACCCATCATCAGAGATAAGATCAGATCTGGATAACTCATGCCCCAGCGGTTGCAGCATTTATAGGATGCAATCGCTATGCAACCACATGCCGCATAGTGACTGATTTCTATAAATACTCCAACCCCTGGTGATGGGTCTGTGCATGAATCTAGACAGCCAGGTGAAAAAAGTTCTTGTTCCAGCGATAGCGTCTACTTCTTCTCAACTGCTTCTCGAGACTCGAAGTTCCGCTTGTATAGGGAAATCCATATCAATTAAAACTTCGAGTAATTATGGTCTCCGCAGGGCTACCAACCAACGTTCCAGATGCCGACCCTATCGCTGGCTGTCTGCAGGCACATAAGCGGACAGCTATTCAAGAAGAAGACCGTGCGGGGAACTAGAACGAAGGCAACGTTTTGAACTTCAAGGCTGCCAGAATTCTCACTGATACCCTTGCGACAATTATTACCACCACTGCCGATGTTAGTGGTCCTGATCAGGGCAACTGTCCAGGTGAGTATGAAAATGATGACACTGATGATGACGATGATGATGATGATGATGCTGGTGGTGGTGGTGGTGGTGGTGGTGGTGGTGGTGGTGGTGGTGGTGATGAGGAGGAGGAGGAGGAGGAGGAGGTCGTGGGAGGAATGGGGAAGATGAGGACAGGGAGGATGCGAGTGGTGGTGGTCAAAGTGATTCCAAGAACGGTCATATTAGCGCTACTATTAGTGGCAATCTTAGTAGGCATGACAGTATCAGTAGTAGTGGCCATAGTAGTACGAGTGGTAGTGGTGGCGGCAGCGGCGTCGGCGGCGTCGGCGGCGACGGGGGTAACAGTAGTAATAGTAGTAGTAGTAGTAGTAGTAGTAGTAGTAGTAGTAGTAGTAGTAGTAGTAGTAGTAGTAGTAGTAGTAGTAGTAGTAGTAGTAGTAGTAGTAGTAGTAGTAATAGTGTTGATCTGTCTACGCCAAGTAAGTGGCATCATGCAAGCAAATATGGACAGAAAGAAGTCGGCTATTCCGCATTTAGCCTACCCGTTTGTATCATCATTAAATTTTGAGTGGTTTGTGCTTCATCAACGAAGTAATGTCAGCAGTGGTAATGGGAACATCAACAGAGCACGTACTTACCTTAGGCGATGGCACCACGGAAAAAGTCATCATAATACGATCGGGGTATTCTTCGCGGATCTTGGAGATAAGCAGTGTGCCCATTCCGGAACCCGTGCCTCCACCAAGAGAGTGGGTCAGCTGGAAACCCTGCAGACAGTCGCAACACTCCGCCTCCTTCCGCACCACATCCAGGACAGCATCCACCAGCTCGGCACCCTCGGTGTAGTGGCCCTTGGCCCAGTTGTTGCCAGCCCCGCTCTGGCCGAAGACGAAGTTGTCGGGTCGAAAGAGTTGGCCAAAGGGACCGGCTCGCACGCTGTCCATGGTACCGGGCTCCAGATCCACGAGGATTGCCCGAGGCACGTACTTGCCGCCCGTTGCCTCGTTGTAGTAGACGTTGATGCGTTCCAACTGCAGATCGGAGTCCCCGTGGTAGTTGCCGGTCGGCTCGATCCCATGTTCATCAGATATCACCTCCCAAAACTGTTGATTTTGTTAACAACAATGCAGCACGGGATTGTTGTGTGTGTGCGGAGGGTGAACTTTTCTTTTTGCCACACTGACAGCAAAGGTACTAGTTACGAGCCCAGACACGCGTTTTGCAGATATTCTGCCACTGTATGGCAGAGCTGTGAGATCTTCGGCTCATCAAAAGATCTCCCTTCAGCGTTTCCTGTATGCTTTTTAATAGATACTCCAGTTTTTAAATTGTAGCTTCTTCATCTTTGGCAGGCCCTCACGTGATCGTCGTCGCCACCCTCGGGTCTTACAGTGGGTCACTGTGCCGATGATTCAGATAAACCGACCCTTGACAACCTTGTCCCTTTCGTGTTAACATAATGGACGCAACGCTTCACCCCACCGTCCGCATCACACGAGTGCATTGTGATCGGGTTGAAAGACTTTTTAATATTGATTTTACATACCTACTGGTCATCTCCTGATGTTCGTATCTGGACCGATGGATATTATTTATAGTGAATATTCGCGATACGTTAGTCGTTGCTAGTGGTTATTATGTTCTCAATGCGTCTCGGAAATTCAAACGCAAACTTAAGATAAAGTAGTAACATAAAGCACATGGGAAACGCTGGAGGCCCCACTGATGAATCGAACCCCTCACAGCTCTGTCATGCAGCAATAAAATATCGGTGAAACACGTGTCTGGGCTTTTAGCTACCGTCTATCCAGCAAGTATGGTAAAAACACACAACATAAGCCGACTATTACATAGTGCATTTTGGCACGCAACAAATTAGTACACATCACTCAGATAATTCAGAAACTATTTCCGTTGAGTTTTTTCGTAATAGTGGCTTATAAGTGAAGGAGATGCACATATCTACATCCAGCTTAAGTGGAAACAGTTACGTGGTCCGTGTTCATGTTTGGTGTGGAAGATTTAGAAGTTTGAACATGCTGTGGCTTAAAATTGGATAAAAATAGGAGGCTGTTGCACATGGCATCAGCAATCATAAAATGGGCTCGTTAGTTCAAGCCGAATGCCGGTATCCTTATGAAAGAGTTCAAGCTTAAGTTTTAAGATAGCCTCGAGCGGTTTCTACTCCGTGACATTTTTTCTATTACATACAGCTCGACAGCATCTTTGCCGAAATTGATGTAAATCCAGGGACGTGTACGTACTCAAACAACTTAATTACTTCCAATCGCCCTTCTAAAATACGTCTTTTCGTTTCTAACATAAATAACGGTCTAGTCTAGAGCTGCAATTACGATAAACGAAATGCTCGGATTTATGCGCGGTCGTATGGCCATGATTATGGGTAGGGTTGCGTTTTTCGCCAGGGTTGTCGCTCAGCTCTTTCACCTGTTGGTAATACCTAGCCAGTAGAAGCAAATCCCCACTTTGTGTTAAATGCAAACCTAAGCAAGTGTTCTGGGCGCCCATTGAACACGCTAGCTCGAACACCTACACTGTGGACTAACCATTGCCTGGATGGGACGGATAACCTTCACAGACCTCACTGGTTTGCGCTGACTATAAGACGCAGCCCTCAGACATACGGCCTTTGTTCAGGCCTGGATGCAGTTTTAAACCAGTCTCCAACTATGGGTGCGTTTAGATGATAGACGCATTTAAAATATGAGAAGTTCTTCTTGTCCCGCTGAAAGTCACCATGGGTCATTCCGTGGTTCCAATCGTACCACGGTGACCTCATGTCAAGCATATGAATCAATTTCCGGCTCATGTGAACTTTGATATGTGATCCTTTGCAAACATGCAAGCGCCAGCAGTATTTATAAGACCTCTGTATGGTTACGGAAAAGAGATAATTCTAGTTCCTTACGTCAGACGCGAAAACGTTTGTCTGTTTAGCTGCCTAATGTTTGTATTGCATGTACAGTTTACTGGTCGAACTGTCCTGTCCCTCTAAGTTTCGGTCCCTAGTCCTGCAATTAAGCATTCGCTTGCCTTGTTTTGCATGAAAAAATATATATAATGCCCAACCTAAGTGACTGTTCAACCTACCTTAGCGCCAATTTGATTTCCACATTGTCCTGCCTGGATGTGCACGATTTCACGCATCCTTAGTCCGGACTCCGAGGATGTTGGCTGCAGGGTTAACTCTGACCGACTGTCGGGTGAGGGCCGGACACTGCTCAGTTTCCTACCACCTTGCCAGTTGGGCTTCGCCTATCACGACTCCTAACCAATGGGATTGCAGTCTGCTTTCCCAATTATTTACACGGTGGGTTGCCAAGGCCTACCCCTACCTAGCGGTCGCTAGGTGGCCGAGTGAGCATGTTGCCAAAAACGCATATTGTACTCTTTTTAGCTTGCTTCCTTCACACAACATGCATTTAAGCAGCACGACAGCAGCAGAATGTCGACATTCTAATCTCGTATTAGTTTACTTTTAAATGGCCAAATTCATTTTCGTTAAGAGAACGTAGCGAACAGGCGTTAGAAGCATGCAGCGGGTGTCATTTTCTTAAGTAAGATCAAAACTTTCTACTCAAGAATTTCCGCGCAAAAATGCCATTTTCGTGCATGTTTTTCTGTGACATTGGATGGACATGAGGAGTGGGGAAGTTGAGTTGTAAAGCATTGTAATGCATAGCAGGAGTCGATGCGAAAAATCCGACGAGGGACGGCTAAATTCACAGAACATTAATTTGCTCCTGAAGGAGGAGACACGGCCGCTGGGACAAGAGCTTTATTCGCCTAACATTTCGGATTCCTGTTTGAACCCATCATCAGAGACAAAAGCAGATACGGGTGGGGTCGGATGTGGTTTGGTAGCCCCACCTGAAGTAAACAAACCTCAGTCACCTCTAATACGAGACCGATTGTAATATGGGTTTTTACAGGTGGAACCGGGGAACGCACAGGCGACGAGGTCATTTAGTTGTATGCAAAATAAAAACTGTTGGGAGTGCGTGGTTGTACTTTCAATGGTTGAGAAATAGTTGCGCTAACGCCTAACCCTAACTCTAGCCCCTACCTATAACTCCTAATCCTAAGCCCCAACCCTTAACATTAAATTTTAACCATAACCCGTAACCATAACCCCTAAACCTAACCCTTAACCCCGACCCCAACAGTATTTTTTCCACCAGGAGGTGCTACTTTGCTTTGAAATTTTCTGATGAGACTACCTTACGTAGCAATGGAGACACCATCTTCCATATCTGTTTGACTTGGGCAACTGGAAAAATCAAATGAATGCTCGTAATTCGATTTAATTAACATGGTCAAATGTGGAGTAAAGTAGGGAACACCGGATTCCGCTGGAAATCTCACATACATATTTGGAGCGGGCCAACTTCTTCAATTCCACACCTTCACATCCGCCAGTTGCATATGAAAAATGGTTTCCTCGTTCTTTCGGCGCAGGTTGTGGCAAATACATGTGGTACAGTGCGCTGTAAAGATTTTCTGTGCAAAATATCTGTGTTTTCGGCCACTTGACAGTAACTCAGCAAACATCCACGTCTAGTGGGGTTTTCAAAAATCGTGTGATATCGACCCTTCTTTCTTAAATAAACAAGAGTCATCGTGAACGCTGCTCTGAAGTACCACGGAATTACCCCATCCTTTACCTCTTTCGGACGACATTTTCCCAATCATGAAATAATTTTACGACAAAAAGCGACTGATGTTATCAATACAAATGAAGCGGTAGAAGGCGCACTTGTTGTGAACTCAATAATCACTAGTAACGACTACTGTGGCGCGGATGTTCACTTTAAATTGCATCCACCAGTCAACTACGAACAAGAGGAAAAGACCAACAGACATGTAAAATCAATATTCGAAAGCCTTTCGACTTGTTCTCAATGCACGCATGCAATGCGGAATGGCCTGCTGTGTCGTGTCTGTTGTGTTAAAACAAAAGGGACAGTCTGGATCCTTGGCACAGTGTAAGACCGGGGACGGCGACGGCGATCACGTGAGCGAACTACCAAACACTGATTGGCTGGGTCATTTCGTTCACCAGTCTGATATGACACGGAAACAAATACCCCTTGCGCTCAGTCCCAGGGTGCCAGGGTCGGGATTTGGGTTTGTGTTTTGGTTAGGTTTAGAAGGGTTGAGGTTATCGCTAAGGCGAATTTTAAAACACAAAAGTAGGTACCCCTTGGAATTCAGCATAAGCCGCCTGTAGCATTGGATATTTATTTTAGTTCTGTGTCCAATCGACCTCGGTAGCAATAGGGTGTAGGACCGCCAAGTAGATGGTAACTACAAAAATATGCCCTAAAATTCAGTGTGACTGTAAATATCACGTATTATTCCCAGTTCCCATTGTTGGAAGTCTCCTTCCCTTCCTGACTAAACGCAAACTTATCAGCGGCGCTTTATCCAAAGTCCGTTATTTTTTGAAAATTGCGTTCCGTTTTGCTTTTAATTATTTCGCCCACTTTGTTTGCTGAATGACAGCGAACGATTAGACTTTCGGCAGAAATTTATCTATTTTCTGTGTGTTCTTGCTCTCCGTCCTGCGTGTTGTCCCACCCGTAAAACTCCCTCCACCACCATTCACCGTATGACACGGTCCACAGGCTAGCCCAAGCTAGTTGGGGGTCCTACACCCTACACTCGTTGCCCCGACCTGCCCTCACTCCACTGGCCAACGTCAGGGAGCATGGTTGAATATTCCGTGTACTCAACAGAACGGTACCTTGATTAAAACTTATGTTTAAATCACGCGTTCGATCAATAATATTTCTAAGTAGTGTATGATAAATATGCTCTGTACTTTATCAAATGCTCTAAAATGGTACTTTCCAAATGACGGTTGTTATTTTAAAGGGCACAAAGTTCATCCACAATGAGTTCAACTCTTCAGACCAACACCTAGATTCTGCCTGTCTTATCTCAATCTAGGACTGTATAATTAGATGTTTGCAAAACAACATCGTATCCACAGTGTATATTAACGGAACTCTGGCCAAAAATAAGAGGTCGGTAGGTACAGCAGGCATTCGACAGTTGCAGCATCTGAACACCAGATAAAGGCAGGCAGACTGTCCAAATGGTTTCTTCCATTATGTTCTTTACATAAAAATGTCAAATATTTCAGGAATATGGTAAAATCTAACAATGTACTAGTTCTTGTGAGTATTCCGGGCACTTGCATGATCTGTTGCCCATACAGGGACAATTGCAAAGCAAACAGACCTTACACTTAAAATTTCAAATAGCAGAGTGAATGGGACATTGCGTGTATTCCGCGAGCTCTCCTTATTGCCATTAGTTAAGTTTTGGTAAGTTCGGAGATTTTCTACGTCTATGATAGCGCATTGTCACCCGGGACAAAATGCATAAGATTAATCTCTCCTGCTGGTTTGGTCAGAGCAACGTCAAATCTGGTGTGCACAAACTTTGCAAAGTGATATTTATGCACCGGAATTATTTACTATCGAAGTCAAAACTCTGATTCCTTTTTTTCCTTTTGGCTGTCAATGGTTAAGACTCCAAATGTGCCTGAGTGAGATGTACGGCTAGCCTAAATCAACGCCAGTGAGTATAAAAACCGCCGTAAACTCAGTCTACTAAGTATGTGCGAGTCTTATGTCAGTTTTCTTCTGCAGAAAAACGATCAAAGATACTCGTTCGCTTCCACCACTTTGTGTGAGCGTCTGATGTGTTTTGCGGGGGGGACAGGTCGCGTGCTTGGCAGACGCAGTCAGGCTTTGTAGCTCTGTCATCCACGGAGCCAATCTCC